AAAGAGTGGATTATAGAAATAGACGGTGAAAAAGGAAGTATATATTTGGCCCCTATTCTTGTAACTGGTTCTCCTGTGGAAGCTAGTGGGAGAGCAGAGCTGATGACCCCAGAAATTCCTTTCCAAAGCCTTCATCCCCACCAGTTTCACTGTGCAGAGGCAGTTGTAGGTTTGGAGCAGCGTATGAGCTTAGGCTATGTCTGAGCTGCAACGCAGGTGTGCTCCATAGCATGCTCCAGGATCCAAGATAAGAAAATGTGGCTAGAGCACACGCCAGCTCTTTCCAACCCAGGCTGCCCAGCTTTCCTTCCCCTGAAGACAGGTAGGAAAAAGGCAGGGGCTGGGAAATTACCTGTCTTTGTCTGGACATGAAATGGGAATGCAGCTGGTGTAAGCACTTCAACAAAGATGATCCCAGGTCCTACTGTCTTAGTTTCCCAGGGCCTCAACTGGTTATGATCCTTTCACTGAAAAAAGGATCGTGTGGAGATAATGAGGCATTGCTTTATGTTTGTTTAAGTATTTTTTTTTTTTGAGAGAGAGAGAGTAATCTCTACGCAGAGCACTGGAATTTGGAGATTTTTGCTTGCATCACTAGCAGCAAACATGGAAATGCCATATAAGATATCTGAAGAAGTTTCTACTTGATATATAAGCATCTATACAGATGTGTAATAGAGGAAGCATTTTATGAAAAAAACAGTTTAATACCTGTGTGATTAAAAACACGCATATTCCTACACTCAGTTTTTCTTCTCTCATTGTGTCACCCTTAAGAAGTCGTCATTAAAATTGTGATCTTCATGATCTCAACTGCAATCTACCCACAGCACATCACTGAAGCTAAGGTATAAGCTGAACAATACTAGAGTTTACTAAAATTTTTCAAAATGAATAATATTTTCCTAACAACCATGCTACTATTCATGTTTTTGCAGGGATAAGGGGAAACTCAAGTTCCTTCAATGTAAATGACTTTTTTTATGTAACTTTCTGTTGCAGATATAGATGAATGTTCCCTTGGCCACCATCAGTGTGGTAGTTTTTCACGATGTTACAATATACCTGGATCCTACAAATGCAAGTGTAAAGAAGGGTACAGAGACAATGGAACAAACTGCATACGTATGTAATGCTCCTTTTAAAAAAGGAATTCTGAAAGTAAATGTGTCCCATGATGTAAATTTTGGGATACAGCACTATCAAGCTCAGTTTCTCTTAACTATTTTTAATACTTAATGAGAGGCCAGGGAATGTAGTCAGGGTTTTTCTGAGTCTTAGTGTGCCTGGGTAAAAATACCTTTCCCTGAGACATTTTCATAATTAGAAAGAAATTCACCTCTCCCTATTCACAGCTTCATTCTAGAGATTGCTTCAGGATGAGAACAACGTGAGTAAGCAGGGTAGGTCTGGCCAGTCAGTCCATATTACTCATACCCTGTTGTTATGTACACTCTGCCACTGTCCCGTTTCAGCAGCTCACTCCATCCACTCCCCACTGCTCCCCAGATGTGAGCAGAGCCAAGAAGGAGGTTTTCTCTGGAAGAATTCCTTGTTGGAGAATTCCCTCCCTCACCTCTCTCTTGGGAGAAGCAGCCATCCCCCTTGGTAGACAATAGGCCACTGGAGCTCCCCGGGGTTTGACTTCCTTCAGGACTGTGCTGGCATCTGCTGAATCTTTTTGAAGACCCTGTGTTCATATGTGGGTGCTGGTCTTCGGTGACTCACTGATCTCTTTTAAAGAGCAGCACCATTGCAGACTTGTTTCCTTTGGCTGTAGCTGTCACGGTAATGTGATCCGCCTCAGGTGATCTTTCACAACCTGAGTGCTTGCAATTATATGTGGACACACTTCATATGTGTTACTGGGACATAGTCCTAAGGTGAATTTTCTATTTTCATATACCTTAATGTAAAAACCACAGGGTATTCAAAAGAATAGTAATAAACAGGCGGCCAGAGAGAAAAACCTTTTTACCTGCTATCATCAAACAACTCATTGTTTAACAAACAGTAGTTCTTCATTTTAGCTGTGTGTTGTACTTGAAACACTTGTACACAAAATATGTGACTAGAGTTCTTACTGGGGCTTTTAAGATCTCCAGTGAGGTATAAAAGACTCATGAACAAATAGAAAATTATAAATAACAAAACAGATGTTCTTGCATTTCATGTCTGCAGAAACTCCCCTTGTGAAACCACGTTAAAATTTGTTGTCCTTTCTTTATGAAATATTGGGGGAGATGGTACTGTAGGCACTGTCATTGTGGTGTAGGTGGTGCTCAGTTCACCACCACTTTTTTGTGGAGGCTGAAAAACCACCATTTACTCAGTTTCCTGGTGTTTAGCAAAGGTAAAGATCTAAATGAAGGCTATTGGCTTAGGTTCAATCTCTGTAAAATGATTAATACTTTACTGAAAAGGAGAAAAGTTTAGAAGAAGTGGAGAGGACTGAAAGGTAACTTCCTTAAGCCAGAGGTATCTGCCTGTCCATGGCCAAAATGGATGTAACAGTGGAGTCTTATTAAACTCGCCTCTGCTCCTGAGTGCAAACTTGTCCAGTTTAGAGATCTGCTTAACACACATCTTCCTGTCCATGCTTTTTTACTAACAGTGCTTTGGGGTAAATTTTACCACCTCTGAAAGAGCATTGATTGGGAGGAAGTGGGGATGGAAGTCTCCTGGCCTTCAGTCGTTCTAAAGAATCTCTATACTGCTGTAATGAGAAGTGTTGTCTAAAGGGATGTGATAATTCAGCAGTGCTGATGCTAAAGTTTATTTCTAATTAGTGGAAACATTCAGAAGAAGAGAAATTATTTCAGCAAAGACTCTCCATGTTGTAATGAAATATATTGTTAAGTTTATGGAGCAAGAGACTCAGATGTCCATTTTGGTCCCATTTTGATTCTCTCTGCAGTTATTCCTAATGTTATGATTGAACCACCTGGTCCATATCATATATTCAAGGGCAACAGCACCCTCCCTAAGGGAGGCAGTGGTATAACCAATAGGATTCCTGATGTTGGAGGCACAAGGCAACCCCTCAGACCACCATATGTACCTGCTGTTGTTACAGAAAGGCCAGTGACCAGGCCAACAACTCGACCTACACCCAGGCCAACAACTCGACCTACACCCAGGCCAACAACTCGACCTACACCTGGGCCAACGACTCGTCTTACACCCAAGCCAACCACTAGGTATGTGCCAGTGACAACAAGGCCAGTAACGAGGCCAGCGGTGAGGCCTCCACCTCCAACACCACCTCAACCTACAACGTTAAGACCTACACTACCACCACAAAGAACTCCTCTGATAACAACTGAAGAGCCTTCACATGTTCCCACTGAAACTACATCTTCCCAAGGAATTACAGATGACAACAGGATCCAGATAGACCCTCAGAAACCCCGAGGAGATGTGTTCAGTAAGTAATTTTACAAAACATTTTATTTATCAGAATTGTAGACACAGTGAGGTGAAAGCATGCACTGTACTGTTATGGAACACTGTCAGTGACAACAAAGACGTGAAACTGGAAGCGTTCATATGGCGAAGCTGCACAAATAGTTGATTTTGTGACCTAACAAAAATGTGGGGAGAAAGTTCTGGGTCAATTCAACCAAAAATTTCAGTTTTTCTTCCTGAAATGACTTGTGAGTATACCATCGTGTATAGGTGCTCAAACCTAATTACGTTTCCAGGTGAAAGTTTTGGAGAACAAAATGCATTTTATTGAAAAACACTGGAGTGCAACATAACTCATAAATAGTTAACGGGTTCAAATTCAGGGAGTTGAGAGCCACTTACAACATATTTCCTTAGCTTTAAGAATGGTAAGAAATGGGACCGTGTCTCATTACCTAAAGACTCTGTTATGTCACCTTGTTGTATGAATTCAAATGGTCTTGGATGTTTATGACTAAGCAATGGCAAAATTGCATAAAAATAACAGAGGCTAATTTTATGGACTGCATCTATGAAAATGGATACATGAAAAGCTGAAGATAGTAAAGACTCTCAGAGCACGAACACATGCCATTTTAAGAGCTGCTGTGAAAGCCACAGCACCATTTCTACCCCAGCTTTAGTGCATACCATGGAAGATATTACTGGCACATGCAGAGTTACGCTTATCTGCCAAGAAATACTCAACACCCGATTTCATCTTTAGTTCTGCTGCTAATTTTAGAGATGGGAAGGGTGTGCTGGATCAGCCTTTCTCCTTCAGCCTGATGTACAAGAAAGCTGCTGAAGCAATGTAGTAGGAGGAAAAGTTTGCTGTCTCAGAGCAGGTGCACAAGCAACGTGGGAGTTTTTTTCTGGTTGCCTTGGCATCTGTATGGTAACTTTGGGTAACTTTCTCTTAGGTCATTATACAGTGAAATATTTTGTTCCTTGTAAAAAATTGGTTTGTTCTCCCTGTTGATATTTTATCTGGTATAGACAGTTTGATGAGTTTAAAATGGAGACAAAAGGTGACTTAGAATTTAGGAAGATAAATCCTGGTACTACTCAGAAGAGTGTGCTTTTGTCTTTTTCAAGGTTATTTTTTAAATAGTCTATATTCAGTTAAAATATAAAAACATCTTTATGTAAAATTCTAAAAAGAAATATAGTAAAGACTCCCAAAACTTAATACAATGGGAACCAATAGTTAAAAATACAGAATTCTGTGGAAATTATTTTAAGACTCTAGCATTGCGCTTACCAGGCTGTCTCGTGTTGCAAGCGTTCTCCAGAATTCTAAAGCAGAGGGGTGTTTCCAGCTATTTTAATGAAGTCGTAACAATCACCAGTATAAAGCTTGTTATTTACAATTAGTCTTTCTGTGTTGTCCCTAGAGACTTGATTTTGAAGCTAATGGTTTCAATACCCAGGATTCAGATGCAGGGGTTTGGAAAGTAGGAAAGTAAAAGTGTTTAAATTTGTTTTCTGACTGTAAGCTTACATTATGGTACGTACAACAAACACAGGAAAAGTGAATCTCTGCTAAGTGTTTATCAGCTGTTTAGGCCAGCTGCCACCCTTTGAGGTTTGCAATACACGTACGTAGCGTGAAAGGCTTCAGTGCCCAACACAGCAGGATTCCAACAGGTCAAGCACCAGCAACTGTTACTGGCTTCAGTAGGTAATACAGGGGCAGGTAGCGCCTCGGATCATGACAATAGATACGTGTCTTTAATCCCATGCTATTTCTTCTATCCCCTGCTAAGGATATCCTTGATCTACACACGTGTGTGACGTACTTGTGTGACTGAAGGCAGCCCCTCCGCCTGTGCTCTGGATGGTAGGAATTTGCGTGGTGCTTGTAGTGTCATACTTAATGAAGCTGGCATCGTCTCTTTTCTTTCTGACTTTCTTTCTGTCTTCCGTGACTCCTTTGAAAGTATCCTTTAGGTAGTGGTCGCTGGTGTCCCCTCCCACCTTCTCTCTGTCCAGAGGCATTTATTTAGAGAGCACACAGAAGCATTTGTTTAGGATTGGAAAAATGCAGTCGGGTGCAAAACAGTTCTGTTCCAGGAGAATGTGCTACCTTGTCAGGGAAAGGTGTTACTTTACCTATTGAATCCTGTTACTGTAGGCATTTGTGGGGAGGGGGAGAAGTTACATCGCCTCGTGTGGGATGTCTAGAAACGCGGGTAGAAAATTTATAGCTGCATATGTTACTACAGAGGGATGTGCAGGGCGTGACTCAGCTTGTCCTTGCCTGCTCCGAGACCTGCGCTTCTGAGGATAACACAGAGGTACTCAGTCACCCCCAAAGGCCGTCGCGCTGTTGGTTCAGCAAGGGGCTGCCAGGCGCCGGGTTCCCGGGCATGAGCTGCGCTGCAGAACTGGCTGCGTGCCTGCTCTTGGCCGGTGGCAAACGCAAGGTTGAGCGCATTGGCTCAAACGCCGTTCCCATTAGCTTACAGATGGCGTTTGCTGGCTGGGTTAAGCTTCAGGTTCCTGCTGGCGCGGTGCAGGCCAGCCCTGCCCCTGCTCTGGGCCCAGGAGAGAGCCGTGCCTGGCTCCGGTGGGCTGGAGCTGCTCTGCGTGGGGCACCCCAAGCTCAGGAGGGCGGCAGCGCTTCCACCAAGCGTAAGCCAGGGCCTCTCGAAAAGCATTCCTCACGATGCTAACAGCCACAATGTTAAGACAAGACAGCATTTTAAACTGAAATAATTAGTAACATTTAGCGAACCTCTGGCGTGCTGCTTATCTGCCACGTGGATGTGCCAAACCCCCCACCTCCAAAACCATTTGCGGATTTTTCACTTGCCTCTGTATTTCCTCAGGGAAGGGGCCTTTTCGGCTAATTCCTTCAGCTTCTTTGAAACTGTTGTTGTTTAAATCTCGCCTACTTCAGACATCTTTGCGGTATTCCTGGGTTGTGAGCTAATGTCATTTGCCTTACACTGAGCCTCTTTAGGTTCATTTCCCCCTGTCATCAGCTTCTCCAGTTGAGGCAGCAAAGCAGCTCAAAAATGAATTTGCACTGTGGTCCCCATATGCCTGCCCGAAAAGAGAAGAGAAAGCCTTGCGCTTGCCGCCTTTGTTTCCCATGGGAGAATGCAGGCAGGCATTTAGTCATCTTGTACCAGTCATTGTCTTGGAAAAGAGAGGAGGAAATTGATGTTAGATCCACTCAGATCATGAAGTAGGTCTTAACTTCAGTTTTGTAACGTCTTCAGAAGAGTTACGGTGTCATCTTCGATGGCTGCTCCCTCGTGTGTCGCCAAGGCCTGTTGTATCCCAGAGAGTCAGAAAAGATTGTGTTTTATCGCACAAGGAAGGGCAAAACCCAACACAGAGAGCACTGTAGCCAGCAAGCGCTGGCAATTCTGATCTTCCAGCCCCTAGTTATCTGCTGAAGGCCTCAGTATTTAAAGTTATGTTTTAAAACTAGGTTGTCTTGTGACGCGTGGACTTTTTCCTTCCTTTCCCCCCCGCCCCAGGCTCTGAAGCCTTAGCCAGACTTTGGCAAAGCCGCGTGACAGTAAATGCTGCTTTGCTCAGCCACCTGAAGAGGCAGTGCTTCTGTTAGGCAACCCGCGGCAAAGGCCCAGTTGGCGTGCTGGTAGATGTCCCACTGCACTAGAGCAAACCATACTGGTGGTCTAGGATGGGTCCAGATCAGGAGAGAAAACGTGCTTGGGCAAGTGTACTTGTTTTCTGCAAGCATCTCTTACATTTTAGTTTTTCATTATTTAGCCTTTTCCTGAGCTTACCCTTAGTGACTCGTTGCTCCCTGTTTTCTCCCTTCATTGTTATTTGACCTGCCTGTCCCACACGCCGAGTAAACTTGTCCTAAGCTTTCACATCGGTAAGCTCTTGAATGTACTGCTCAGCTTGAAACCAGCTGAGGACCGGTGAAATCGGTCTGTTTAGTGGTGACAGAGCACAAATGATAATAATGCTGATATTTAAATACCTTTGCAGTTTTTGACAGGAATTGGGTTGTTGCGTTTCTTTAGCTGCTTTACCCCTTTTCTAAAAATCCCTGCATTGGCTTTGGGGAGCTGCTTTTTCAGAGAACAAAAACCCAAGTATTTTTTAAAATGGAATTCCTACACTTGGCCTTTGAACCACTCAGTCAGATGCAGACAGTGGAATCTGGCACCAAGGATAATCTTCTCCTGATATGGATATGGGGGGAATGGCAATGAGGGAGGAGTGCAGTGATGGCTTAATATTTAACTATTTCAGGACTGACACAAACTACAGTGAAGTGCAGAGGCATCTTTTCCAGTTACTCGGATGGATAAAGTCTCTAACGAATAGAACGTATTTCTCAGTAAGACTGTGAAGTTCTGCTGCCATCGGGATGTGGGTGATAAGCATTAAAAGCATAAACTTAAAGACAAAGCATAATACTAGGTATCGGCAGAGTGAGAACAAAAAGCCTCATCTGTATTAAAAGATAGTTCAGCAGTTTTCCTTCTTAGCCCTTAGTGGGGCTGAAAAGATTGGAATTAACAGATTTTTCTCATAACAGCTATTAAAAAAGACTGGATTAAAACTTGATTCTTTCTGCTCCCCTTTCAATGACTGAAAAGTCTTTAGTGCAGTAAATTCAGTTTTGTGATCCTTGAAGCTGCTGAAAAAAGGGAAATGCTAAAAGCAAAGAATATGAGGTTTGTTACTCCTTGATACCGTTCGAGTAGCACCATTTTACAAGCATTTCATTTGTCCTCACTGTTCTGGCACCTATTAAAATGTATCTGTCTTTAAATATTTAAGCATTTAATATAGGCACTTTGTTCCTGTCCGTACTGTGGAGCTAAATCGTAAGATATAGGGGTCTTACAAATCACACCATCCATCTTCCAGCTAGTTTTGTCCCCAGGTCTGATAAACAAGCTTCTGTTGGTCACTTATTTTAGCTGTGTCCCCCTGAAATTCAGTCGTCACTCTGCACCTCGTGAATAGCTGCTCATGGAAAAGCAGGCAGGTGACTTTTGAGAAAATCTTCTGGTAAGATGCATAATGAGAGGTGTGATTTAGGTGAGAGTTAATGAGCCTTGTACCTGCCTGAGAAATGCAAGATTGGACTTTAGAGTGGTCGCACGCTACTGCCATCTCCCCCCTGTCACGTGCACGGTGCTGTAGGGGTGGGGCAGCCCCCGAAAGCCCTTCCTGGAATAATTCTCACCACAGAATTTGAATTTGCGGAGTTTTAAGCAACATATCCTGGACGCTGCAGGTATCCAGATAAAAGGGTGACATGTATCTCTCTGTTGCCCCTTCTTTTTGGCCCAGCATATATCAAAGTCTCCCATGGAGGAAAACAGGACGTAGTCTTGTTTACGAAGTCTGACTGACCTCTGGACTACCCCTCCTTTTAGCTATTTTCTGCTGGTTCTTGTGTGAGATCTCATCGCTCGTGGGGTTTTTTGGAAGTGGAATTTAACAGCTTTCAATTGTAACTAGTCAGTCAAAAAATCTGTGTCTTTTGTTTTTCTTACCAAATGGGAAGCTTGGTCATGATTATTGTGTGGAATGGAATTGCGTAAGAACGCAGTGTTTGTTGTAAGGCAGAACACCATGTTATTAATAGTAATAACAGTTACTAATAACATGAAGCTGCACTCCGTGTTTTGGTTTGGTTTGGTAACACCAGAACAGTGATTATTCTGTAATTACAAATAACCTGTCATATGTACACACCATCTTTTATACTCCCAAACTCAGCAATTAGCAAGTAAATGGAAAAAAAGTCCTACTGTTTTCCCAAAGGATTAAAAAGCTGAAAAAAAACCCAAACCAGTCTTATGCACTTATTAAATGTTCCCCCCCCACATTCATGCATCTGTGAAGAACTTAGCTCGTGAACTTTGAGAATATGGTACTGTTGCTGTATTGGCTCACTCAGAGCATATAAAATTCTCCAAGAAAAAGAAGCCAAGTTTATATTTAACAAGCTTTATCAAACCATTGAGGTTAAGTGAAAAGCACACTGATAGGCTATATAAAGTACACAGAAAGGGCTTGGAAAGCTCGCAGAAAATAATTGTGCCAAATACCTTCTCCCATGATCGCCACTCAACATATTAGTTGTCGTAGCAAGAAGCGGCGTACGCATGGATCGTATTTAAGAGTCCTGCATCTCTGGTTTCCTATCAAGTGCACATTCCTCTAATTAGGTCTGAGCACTGAAGTGACTGGTTTAAAGCTCTGCAACCCATTCTTCTAGAAGTTCATATAGAACAGTGTTTGGAGAGGACTTTAAAGTTTTGAAGAAATATTTTACTGTAGAGCTTTAATTATAGGCAAATACATCAACTTGGATTTGGAGAATGCTTGTGTGCGTGTGCAGATGTAACTGAGATTTGTATAAAATAACCATGCGTACAGTACGTGTGTATGCTGCGCTTGGCAGTTTTAAAGCAAATGGGAAGGAACCTGACAGGAGGCTGTAGGGAGGTGGGTGTTGGTCTCTTCTCTCTGGTAACAGGCGATAGGATGAGGGGAAATGGTCTGAAGTTGCATGCCTGAGAAGGTTTAGGTTGGATGTTAGGGAGAATTTTTTCACTGAAAGGGTTGTTAAGCATTGGAACGGGCTGCCCAGGGAAGTGGTTGAGTCCCCATTCCTGGGGGTATTCAAAAGACGGGCAGATGAGGTGCTTAGGGACATGGTTTAGAGGTGGGATGGCAGGGTTAGGTTAAAGGTTGGATGATTGTATGAAATTGCTGACTTGTTCTTCATAGCGTGGGAAACGAACAGCATCTTTTCCCCTTAGCGTAGTCTGAGAAGAGGAAAGGCAAGGTGATGGTCCCTGGGGGTGCAGCAGAGATGTGTCTCAGGCGTGGGGACTGCTGTGTTCCATGGGGAGCAGCAGCCTGCAGCGTGGTTGTAAGGAGAAACTCCCCCGTGAGGGCTTATCTAAGGCGAAATTGCAGTCGGAGCGCTGTCCTGCCAGAAACAACAGTAAGTTACCTACAAGATGCTGCTCATTTAGCAGCCTTTGTAAGTAAACAGTCCTGCAAAATTTGCTGTCCCAGGTGGCTGGCCGCAGTAAGCCCACAAAACTGCATCAACAGTTTTTAACATCTGTGAGCAAACCCTCTGCAGCTGAATTGTAACAGGTAGGTGCTGGCACGTACCGCAGCGGTGGAGGTATGGGCAGACATAGACTGTTCACACGCGTAGCAGCTCTGCTGCTCGTGGTTGTCCGTGACGGTGAAGCAGTGGGGAGCAGCCTACGAGTGTGTATGCTGTGTGCTGTGACGCGTCACGACAGCCTCCGCCGCCGTACGCACCTCTGCGCAGGTGTGACTGTGGCCCTGCGATGTGCTTGTTCAGCTGTCCTGCCTACGTCGGCGTTAGGTAGAGCTCGGGAAAGACAGCAGTGTACTCTGGGAGGGATTTGTCGTGGTTTAACCCGGCTGGCAACTCAGCACCACGCAGCCGCTCGCCCACTCCCCCCCCCGGGAGAGAATCGGGAAGAAAAGGTTAGAGCCGAGGGCTGAGATAAAGACAGTTTAATAAGAGAAAATAATAATAATAATAATGATGAGAATGGTAACAGAATATACAGAATATACAAAACGAATGATGCACAATGCAATTGCTCACCACCTGCTGACCGATGCCCAGCCCGTCCCGAGCCGCGAGCAGTCCCCGAGCCGGGAGCAGTCTCCCTGTGACTGACCGACTGACTAACCCCCCCGAGCATGACGTTATATGGTATGGAATAGCCCTTTGGTCAGTTTGGGTTAGCTGTGCTAGCTGTGCTCCCTCCCAGCTTGTTATGCACCTGGCCGAGCAGGAGAAGCTCAAAAAGTCCTTGAGTAGTCTGAGCACTACTTGGCAACAGCTAAAAACATCAGGAGCAGTCTCCCTGTGACTGACCGACTGACTAACCCCCCCGAGCATGACGTTATATGGTATGGAATAGCCCTTTGGTCAGTTTGGGTTAGCTGTGCTAGCTGTGCTCCCTCCCAGCTTGTTATGCACCTGGCCGAGCAGGAGAAGCTCAAAAAGTCCTTGAGTAGTCTGAGCACTACTTGGCAACAGCTAAAAACATCAGTGTGTTATCAACATTCTTCTGGTACTAAATCCAAAACACAGCACTATGCTAGCTACTATGAAGAAAATTAACTCTATCCCAGCCGAAACCAGGACAGTATTAAAGGTGAATGATGGTTTAAGAGTATTCCTGCTTCCTTTTTTTTTTGTTTTTTGTGCTGCCTGAGGTAAACCGATTTTCTTTTTTTTCTTTATGTAACTGAATATTGTATTTGTGCATAAATGTACTGCAGGGTGGCTGTTGGCCTAGGTGGTGTGGACTTGTGCACATTTGTAAGGTTTCTTTCATGTTAAATCTCAAAACTCCAATCATCATGTAAGTAAAAAAAACCCCAGATTAAACAAAGCAGAAAAAATATTATTGCAAACACTGTAACCTTAAAAATTCACAGGCCTTTACTACCCCACCCAACCTGAAGTCCTTGAGGCTGTTTGAGTGTTAACATCCTAGACTGCAAATAGACATAAACCAAAATCTACAAACTATTAAAAGTAAGTTAAAAAAGAGAGACATAAGGATTCAAAAAATGACTATAATACTAAGGAGTTAATTTGTTTCCTACGGACTTCAAGCTTATTTATTTTTATTATACAAAACTTCCATCCAAGATCAGTAGCCTATAATATTACTTTTAAAATACATTAGCATTTGGTGGACCTTTTACCAGGCTGCTTCTTTTGTCCTAGTTCCAAAAAGCAGGAAGCTACTTCATTCTCGGTTTTAGTTTTCCTCTGTCTTCTGGCTTTAGAGGAGCTGTTGCAGCGGCGCTGCTTACATGTCGTCCTAGTGCAAAAGTTCCTTCTTACCTTTGATTTGATTTCCTGAAAACACCAGTCCTTTAGTTCAGTGTGTAGAGTTGTAAATCACCTCAATTCTTGTTCTCGCTTGCCTAAGAAGCTCATAGAGACATTAAGATACTTATTTTAGCACCGCAAATGGAAAACCTGTTGAGTTTTTAATAGGCAAGGCCCTTAGACACCTCCGAAACCTACGGTATTTGTGTAACATCTAAAGACACGTCTGAAGCACATGGCTGCTGTTGTCGATTATGGGCTAGGCCTGCCTCTAACCGAGGAATTTCCACAACCGCTCTATCCGGTGCAATCTGTTTATCTCTGGTTGACAGCTGTCAGTCAGGCATGATGTCAGTGTGTTTATTTCTGGAGACTTACACAGACTGGCATAGTGTCTGCAGAAGTGGAAGTCTTTGGAGCCACCTGACTTTGGCACAAAAAGCCCCTCTTAAATTTCAGGTTGTCGTGGCTGCTGAATGTCTTTAGGGAGCTCTGGTCCTTTGCAGATAGATGGATGTTCCTGCAGCTGAGTTTCAAAGGTTAGGTCAGTGGGGGAGCCTCTTCAAGTACCACTGCCTCCTGTTGGGATTCTTCCGTAAGCATCCATGGAAGGAAAGTGGATTGGGAAGTTTGAGCGAGGGCTTTACTGTGGCTTTATTCTACTGAGAAAGCGCTCTCTTTAAAAGTGCATTTGGAGGGGAATAGTGTGCTTCAAGCTTAAAGCTTTTTTTTCCTTTTTTTTCTTCCCCAGTTGAAAAAAGGAGCTTTCATTTGAAGCGCCTTTAGCAGCTTTGGAATCACCTTTTACAGTGCTCAGATAAGTGTTACAACATAAATCACAAGTCACATAGGCATAAAGTTTATGCATCTTCATGTCAAATATAATTAAATATATTGAATTCTCCAACAAAAGCACAATGCCCAGAGCTGCTCTGCTCTTTTTTTATTAAAGAAAAGGAAGTAGGTCACTAACTACCTTTAGCTCATTCATTGCTGAAAAACCACTTTCCCCACAGTTCCACGCCAGCCTGGAGTGAGCAATAATCTGTTTGAAATACTTGAAATTGAACGAGGGATAACGGCCGACGAATTTGAAGCGAACGATGACCCAGGTAAAGAGCGCATCTCCTGTTTGGGGCTTAGGGTTTTTTGAGATTTCTTGGGGTTTTGTACATTTTTACAGGGCTCCTACATCTTATGCCCCTTGTTTAAACTATGCTTTGTAAAAAGAAAAAAAACCCACTACCTAAGGGAATCTTTATAGTTTTATTTCCTAACAGATTTAGCACAAAACCAGTGTGAATTGTTAACAATAACACCAGCTTCCTTTTTATTGTTTTAGTATTTTTGTAATTCTTTTTCTAGTGCTCCTTCTGCTGCATTTCATTTTCATATTTACTGCTAGTGTCAGCCACAAGGGAAATTGCTGTAGTCCCCACCAAAACAATCCAAACCACTTTTTGTTTGTTTTTTTTTTTTTTTGACCTTCTGCTCTGTTCTGCCTAGGTGTGCTGGTACACAGCTGTAATTTTGATAGTGGACTGTGCGGATGGATCAAGGACAAAGATGACGACTTGCACTGGGAACCCGTGAGAGACGCATCAGGTAAGCCACCCATGTGCGATCGCATCCTGTAGCTGAAGAACCAGCTGGGCTGGAGGTTGATGACTGTTCTTGCATTAGCATGAATTTACACAGCTTCTGTTCCCTTCAGTTCCGGGATGTATTTCACGCTCACGCCCCTTCTGTGTATACAAATCAAAACTGAGGATTCCCAACATGGAAGAGCAACAGAGAATTTGCACTTTTATCATAGCTGGCATCTTCACCATAGGAATGTCTCTGAAGGAGTAGTAAATGTATTCAGTACAAGATTATCTGTCTTAAAAGAATCAGAAAGAACAAAAATGTGGATGAGAGAACAACTTTTACTTATGGTGAAACAAAGCTTAGTTTTTCAAACCACCATGCAAACCTACTTGTTTCTATGTTGCCAGCAAAATTATAGAAAGCACTGGAACTAGCTGCCAAATACAATGTTTTAGTTTAACCCCTTGGTTTGATTTTACTGAATTCTACTTGAAGTTACAGCAACCTGTATATAGGAGAACTGTTAACTGACCGGGAGGCAGAGAAGTTAGTTAGGTGCTCACAGGCAGGGACTTCTGCAGATGGGTACGCTTGGGTACACGCAGGATAGGAGAAGGCTGGCATTGGCGCCGGTGGCCAGGCGAAGCAGCAACCCCTGCCGCTGCACGCCTCCGCTGCGGGGACTCGGTTGTGTTGTGTCCCCTCTTGCCGAGACAGTACAGCACAGAGGGGCTGGCCTGGCCTGTGTACCCTTCCTCCTGCAGCGCTCGCCCCATGGCGCTGCGGATTAGACACAGGTCTCTGGCTCCCTGTAACGATGGGATTACTTCATACCCAGAAGAGCAGCCTTTGAAGTGCACAATGCTTACATTATGTGAGGGGGTGGCAGACTGCGGATGGAAAATGCGCTCTCGGGCGGCAAAATGCTGCAGGTTGATTTGAGGGAGGGTGAGGGCACTGAGAGCCATTTTCCTGACGCGCCACCTCATCATAGATGCCTGTCCTTATGCTGCCACGGGTGGGGCAGCCATTTGCCACTGCAGGGGGTGACCTGGAGCCTTTTTCAGGCTGTTTAGTTTCAGGTGAAGTGGAAGTGCCCATCTTCACTCACTGGGCAGGCCCCCTCCCCACCCACAGGCATGCTCTAGTATTTCCTGTGCTCCTTATGACACTTAAAAAATCTCATGCAAGACTGGGCCAGCAGAGCTCCTTCCTCCTGCAGATGAGAAAACTGTGGCTCTCTCCTGCTTGCAGACTGGCATTTTAAAAAAGCTCTCCCCTAATTCAAACATGTTAGTGAAACACCGGATTTAAAAATGCTTTGCTTCTGAAAAAGTCAGTCACTCAGGGCATATTCACTGCCTGTACTCAAAAATTGTTCTTAATACATAGTAAGTTCCAAAACTATGATTTTTAACTGGCTTTTTTTTTTAGCCTTTTTTTTTTCTCCTGCGTTGCTTCCCGGTCAGGGACAATCCCAGCTTTTTGTTTCCTGTGTATGTTCTGCTGCTATTGACATAACCTGTTAAAACTAGTCCTGTGAAGTCACCCACCCACTCCCCCCTGTCTGGAATACCTTGTTGCAAGGGTTTATTTTCACAGCTTGTTCCCGAGTGTTTGCTTTCACCTTTCAAAGTTTGCTATTTATTGGTTTATCAGAATCTGCATTTTGAAAGGTGCCAGCCGAAGCCTTACAAGCTTATCTCGCATGCAGAAAATGCTCATTTGAGGGGACCTTTTCCTGCAGGGGCTTGCCTACAGCTTTGTGCTTACCTAAATCTGTTTCCTATTGATTGGGTTCAGTCACTGTAACTATCTGAAACAGATGCAGTTAATGAGGTAAGTCAGTACTTTTATAGTGCTAGAACTGTATCTACATCAAACAGGTGCAGTTACTTAAACTCTATTAGGCTTGTTTTAGCAGTTACTGACCTTGATGCAAAACCAATGCATTAAAAAACCCCCCCAAAAAACCATTTAACAGATCCGTGGAGAAATGGCTCCCACTTCATGCCCAAAAGCAGATCTGGAGCCCCAGACAGCAGCATAATACTTTGCTTAAATCTCACTGAGACCAAAGAACTTAAAACCCTGTGTAGGAGCAGTGAATTGGAGACAGGGGTGGCTTTCCTTGTAAGTGTGTGACAAGCCCCAGTACGTTGTCATTAAATCTCACAGCTTTTGAGGGAAATCCTTGTGACTTTCAAAAAGAAGCCTTCAAAAAATAGGGCTCTGGTTGCGTAGTAGCAGGGCGACAATTTAAATGAAAAATATTTTTCTATTCTGCAGTTAAGTAAAGACTGTGCATGCCAACAATATTATCAACCCCAGTATTTCTACATTATCAGTTTCAACTAAGGAGCCTAAACGCCACTTTTACCTTAAGTTCATTAAACTTCAATTTTTTGATTTAAAAAGATTTTAGAAATCTAAGCTCGCTAAGAAAAAGATTCTTAGGTTCGGAGTAAGACAAGAATTTTTTTTTTCATTTTTTAAAAGTGAATCCTCCTCCCTTTGGTAATTTCAAATTTTAAAGTTATCATCCACCTTGCAAAAGTTTTAATGAAAAGTACAAAAAAAACCAGTTACAGGTGTAGGTCTTCTCCAAGCTGTGAAGTCTCACGGCAGTTTTGAGTGCCTGTGTGAAAGGATACAGAGGACTTGGGGAAGTATATGCCCTTTTTTTAATTTTTTTTTTTGGTTTAATATTGCCATACCTGAGATCCTTCACTTTTCACATTCTAGGTGTTTTTATGAAGGCACCTTTACTCCATACATGATAATAATAGGGTTTTGAGTTAAGTACGTGTGTTCACAGACAACTTACTACTGTTAGAGAAGACTTCAGGGAGTGTATTCAAGTCAGCAGCCATTTGGAAATCGTTGCTGTTTCTAGCTTTCTGTATCTAACCCAGATTAAGAGTTAAAATTATGGGTAAATAAAAAGGCTATCCGTGTTTGCAAATGGATACGCTTTCAGACTTAACCTGTTAACACAGTTCCCAAATAAAAGGAAGGGGACAGAACCATAGCTTGATTACACGATAAGATTTATGCTGGCCTCTCGTTCATCTACACAATAGCAAAAACCTGCAGCTTACAAGGTGCATAAATGTACACAGTAGCTTTAATGTCACTGTGGGTTTAAAATCATGCAGTCATCATGGGGTTGTCAGAAATGAAGAAATACACAAAATTTTCATTTCCAAAAGGGGTATTATTTGCTTTGTAAAAAATAAATTCGATGGGCAAGACCTAACCTGGTACTAATGTAAACAGGAGACAGCACTGTAAATCTTACCCTGCAGCAGGCAGATGCATCGGTTCCGGTTCACGTTCCAGCAACTATATGCCTTATTTAAGACTCACTGGACTGTGTGGAGCGCTTTTTTGTTCTTGAGGTTTTTTACCGGCTCTCGTACATTCGGTCTTGCAACACAGCAGAACTTTTAAAAAACCCTGCCTGCTTTTTCTTTTGCAGGGGGACAGTACCTTACCATTTCTGACCCCAAAGGCAAAGAAGGGAGAGCAGCGCATCTGATCCTGCCGCTGGGTCGCATGGCTCAGGCCGGCGACTTGTGCCTGTCGTTCAGGCATAAGGTGCCGGGACTGCATTCTGGTGCCCTCCAGGTCTTTGTAAGGAGAAACGGTGCCCACGGACCAGCTGTTTGGGGAAGAAACGGCGGCCACGGCTGGAGACAGACGCACATAACTTTGCGAGGACTGGGCATCAAGAGTGTAAGTACCGATGCAGGTGCTGCCTTCGGCTTTTTCGCGTGAGAAGCGGAAGACACTTAGATGGGGTAGCACTGGACTGTTTGTCTTCTGGGTCCAATTTCAGCCTGTGTTTTACCTCTTTGATTCCTGCCACTGGAATGTTAAGGAGAAGAAAGGACTTGTGCATTTTGTCAATTCAGTTGTTTGCAAAAAAACCCAAACCACCTACAGCAATAGACACATAGGAAACTACAGAAAGGAGGTAAGCAATGACCTAACCATGCCAATAACACAAAATGGCTTAGTGTAATCAAAAGAAGCTGTCTGAAGTGCCATGGAGAATCTTTTAATACCTGGAAATCTTAGAAACATTGGAAGATAAACTGATATATCAAAAGCTCAGCATTTTTTTTCATCCTCCACTTAGCTTTGAAGGTAGTTTCTATTTCAGATCAGAAGAAGGGGCTTGGGTGCTTCAGGGCCTGTTTTCCTCTGACTTGCATCAGGTGGTCTAAAAAAAGCTCACACGTCATCATGTTCATGGTGGGAGCAGGCTACAACACACAGAGTATATGGTTCTAAATTAATATTAAGGCTGCAATTACTGCAGTTAATCTTCTGAAAACTTGACCTCAGAAAAAGTAACAAAGATGTCTGACCTTCTCTGAGCTGTCAGTGAATATCAGACTGCGAATGTGGAAGTTTGTAGCAGCTGAACAAAATTATTTCCCCCATTCTTACCCTCTTCCACCACATTTAACGTTTCTCGCAATCCTCTGGTCTGTCTCACCTTCTAGAGCAGTTCGTTAAATAAGCGTGTCTGCCTGGCAGAAAAGCAAATGAGTTTTAGAGATGGCAGACCAGGCTGGCAGTCCCGTCCCCCTTTGCGCTGTCCCCTGCCCTCTCCTGACCACCTCAGCAGGTGCTGTCAGCCTGGTTTGCCAGCCGTAACCCAGGGCTGGTCCATGGACCAGAGCTGCACCTCACGGCGCAGTTGAGTTTGGGATCTTTGCCAGCCAGCATGGAAAGCCTGGGCTGCTGACCCAAACCCCTGTGACGTTTGTTCCAAGGATCAGGGAATGAGAGAAAGCTCTGGGTAAGCAGGGAAGGTCTTTGCCACAGAGAAATCAGGAAGAAATATGGAAGCTTTATTTTCTAGTTAATTAAAAAACAAAAGCAACTAAACGCTAGTGATTTGGGGGGGGGCTACTGGAAACCTGAGGAGAATATGAATGGAGACCAGAACCCTTCATCACACTTTCTAATGCCTTAGCTCTGTGTAAAGCACACCCAAAATCACTATTTTTTTTTAAAATAATGCATTTATTCAATGTAGAGTTGAATAAAAAAATAATTTCTGAATTCTTTTATTTCGAAAAAAAATGTAGTATGTTCAACACAGTTTCTCTGACCTCCTTTGTTGCTATTCCTTATTTGAAGGTGTGCTTTCAGCAAGCAGCCAAATTATTTTTAACCACCACCATTTTGTGAGGAGCCAGCGCTTCTGTAGATTACCACAAGTCTGCAGGAGCCGGGATTTGTTAAATAAAAGGTGGCCATTGCTAGTTCCATAACTAAGGCACAGCTGCAAGGTGCTTTAGCAATGGAAAGCTCCTCTATTAGACAACATTTTTCAGAATGCAGAAGCTTTTATGTGTTTGCCATGAGGGACAATGAAAACGGTGCAGAGATGATATGAACAAAGCACCAGAGATTCTCTTATGTGGAAGTTCATCTTGCCTCAGCAGATGGTACAGCTGGAGCAACTCTGTCCTGAGCTACCGGTTCTTCACAAAGATCCTGCCAAAGTGAAGAAGGGAAAGGATCAGAAATAGAAAAAACCAGCCATAATTCTGAGCAGAATCAATAGGCTTTTGTCAGTCAGTTACGATTTGCCTGAGCTTTCTTATGCTTTTGCTTTCTTACTGTGGAGACCTCTCTCTTTCGTTTTACTTTATTTTTGCACTCAAGTCGTTCTATTTCTCTTCCCAGGTTATTTTCAAAGGGGAGAAAGGGAGAGGAAGAACTGGGCATATTGGACTAGATGACGTGATCTTGAGGAGAGGACGCTGCTCTGAAGAGCATTAGCAAAGACAACGAACCAGCGGAGTCATCTCCTCTAGCCCTTCTCGTGCTATTCCTACCAAGCTTTGAAACGGAACTGCACAAAAAAGAAGACAAAGTTGGAGCGTGACAACTTCTCAGTGGCCTGCTAAGTGCTCTCTCACTGAAACTTCCTTAAAAACACGGAGAGCACCTTCCAGGATTCAGGAACTCCGCTCCTGTGCTGGTTGTTTCTATTAATCCTTATCCCTAAATCATATTCTGTATGTAATAACTTTATCCCCTGTTAAGCCTGGTGACCACTCACATAAAGAGCACTTGTGGAAAAGGGAGCGTTAAGTACAAATAGTGGCAAAAGAAAGCTCCAGCTCAGAACATTTTAGTGATAACTAAATATTCATTATCTTCCTGTAGCACTGCTCTTTCATCAATTAGATCTGATAGACAGCAGGACTGGTCCAGCTTCAGAGTCACCTCAGATTAGCGGAAGCCTGGACCTGAATGCTGGCTTACTGCCACCGACCTTTGAAGAAGGGTTTGCTTCATATTAAACAGCATTTATTTTGGTGTTGCATCTGTATTAAGAAAAAGCAGTTATAGAGAGTAGGCACTGCATCCTGTAATATTGCTGCCGCTGTGTTTTGTGTATATGTGTATGGTTATTAACATATTTATGTTTTTAATATTTACAGGCTCTAGTTGCAAGGTAATTGGCAGCTGTGCTTTCTTATTGTACAAGACCGGAGTCCAGCATCTTCTCTGACCCCGCTGGTCGTGCCAATAGATACGTTACCAAAGTCAGTTAATGGTGCTCACTGAAAAACACTGGTGCAGTTTTTCATGTTGTAATATGCTGAAGGCAAAAGACCGAACCCTTACCTGATGTAAACTGGCATCTGATAATGCTGTACGAGTTTGCATTTAGCTCAGGAGCAAGCCCTAAAGGGCTCTCAATCCTGCAAGAAACTCCTGGTTCAGCTGAAGACTGAGCAGCCTGAAGAAGGTAACTTCCATCGTGTCAGATTGACCCCGTTGATGCTACCAGGAACGTTCCCTTCCCACGGGTGGTACGAGCCTATGCAAAAGCAAAAAGGGCAACTGCGTTAACGCCGTGTGAACAGTTCAGACCGTGAAATGCCTTGAGTGATCTTTGTCACACGTCCATATTCCATCCAACCCTTCTGTATATAATAAACATTTTATTCTTTAGAACTAGGACAACTATTAATTAGCTCTAGCTGGAACTATCAGAACTTTGGATTTATTTTTTAGTTGTGTGGCATGCATGTGGTGTACAGTTTCCCAGGAAATTCTTCTGTTTGGTTTGGGGTGTCTTAAAATGAAGATCATCATCATCATCATTGCTGCTACCAATTCTAAATTTGACAAAGTAATTGTAATGTCTAAGAAAATGACAAAAGATTGTCAAAACATTGTTAATGGCGCAGCCTTAAAGCCTCAAAAGTATATATAGAGAAGAAACGGGTCTCAGATCTTTTAAAGACTATGTAAGATAAATGCCAGCTTCATATCATGTTATAAAACCATGATTAAAAAAAAGAAATCCGTGCACAAAGTCCAGAGAGACAAAATTGCAAGACCATTAGAGGTCGCGTTCCAAAGCCCTGTTTCTGACAAAGTACTGTTTTGAAAATATTTTTCCAGTTTGTCCCCTAGGGCAAAGCCCAGTATGTATAGCAGAAGTTTGCTTGACCAAACAGAAAAGTCTCCTGCAAAACTGTATTTAAAAGGAAAAAACAACTCTTTTGTAAACATTTTAAAAATATTTTGCTTCAAATACGATCATGGTCTTTGTCTCTTACGTTACTTTGTAATATGTCAGAAATATTTGTGAATAGTTGAAATACCTTGTCCTTATTTTAAAGTAATCAGTAAAGGAGGCTGTTACTTGCTACTAACTGGAAATCTTGTTTTCATTTCTGGATCAAAAGTCTCATTTTTATTGCAGTGAAATGAACCAAAAGATGACAATTCAAGCAAAGAGAAGTAGCTCTTGTTACCGGATTTAAAAATAAAAGTAATACGTACTGTAATACGTACGAGAGCATTGTATGTATTATTCAGAAGGAAGAACGACAGTTTTCAACCCAGCTTTTTTTAAGAACAGTTTCACAGATAATTTAAGAGCTTCTGCAATAGAAAATGTCCATTTTACAAGCAGCAGCAGCTACTGTAGTTCCCCACACTACTGAACCTGCGCAAACCGTCTTGGCCTCTAACAAGATTAACACAGTTTGGCCTGGTTCATCTACAGTGGATGAGGATGGTCTGTACCACGTAGTACCACAGCTTTCCGAGATTGAGCCTCCCCGGCTAAAACAGAACTCACTCTCCCAGCTGTGCAAGGCTGAAAAAAAAAAAGAGTGTTTTGCCCCTTCACAAATGGCCCTCAGGACCCAGAACGAATTCAGAAGTGAAGCAGAAAGAAGTCCTCGGGTGACATGAGGAGGACTGGGGGTCTCTGCATGCTATGGACGCACTTCATCCTTGCAGTCAAACCAGTAACCCTGTAAAGCCTCGCTAGCAACTGATGCCCCAGCTGGCAGCGGACGTGGGGGCAGTCTTGGCAGAGCTGCTATGGCTGGAAGTCACTCACCTCCGCAGCGGCTGTGCCATCGTGCTGTACGTGTCACCTTCTCTCGGTGTTTAGAGACGAGGCGAGGTCGGTCAGCGCTTCTGCTGTGGTGCTCTGTCTCCAGCGCTCGCTGCGCTTGCCCTGGCAGGGGGGCGTGAGCCTCAGGAAAGAGATGATAATTAATATGGCCCAAGGTCTGCCTGTGAAGCAGGTTATACCCGCGCTCCCTGCCTAGGGCTTAACAAATGGGTAACTGTGCCAAAAGAAATCCCTGCTTAAATATTTAGGCAAGCAGAAATTATTGCACTGAATTAATTAACATGAAAACATTTGTGTATTGTGTAACCTCTTGCCAGCCTATAATTTAATGGTTTAAAAAAGCAAGTTAAACCTTTTTGCCCCCCAAAAGATTGAAAAATAAAGATTCTTCAGAAATTACAGGTACCGTGACCAGTGGCAGTGTGCATTGACTGCATTTGCTGATATCAGAGTACAATGGAAGGGACCAATACAAGACTTTGTTTCCATGCTCTAGTCACCTCACTGCTCATCAGAGCCACGTCGCTAGTGAGGGGGCTCAATAAACCCTATTCATTCTGGAGAAAAGCTTCCCTAGGTTTCCTTCACTAAATTACCCTAGGCTTGGAGGTCAAAACATTGGTTTTAATGGAGATTACGATAAGCATCCTAACAAGCATCGGATTAGCCATAAGAAGACAACCCTGAGCAGAAGAATGCTCATGGACAGCAGCCTCCATCGTCCTGCTCTCTCCTCATGAAGGAAAGATGCACCAGCATCGGTTGTTCCTCCCTGCAAACGAGGGGCAGTAATTGTCTCAAAGCCTGCTAAAAGCAGAGACTTTGGATCAGGCTACGCATTGGGACAGTCACCTTGAAACCTGTTCATTCTGCATTTAAAGATGATAAACAGCAAGATAAACTATAGCTGGCTGTAAAATTTTAACTGTGAATGTTAGAAAGATAGAGTAATTAATTGTCAACTGAGGCCCAGCTGAATCCTATGCAGTTTTTGTTTTGTTTATATAGATCTATAGCTCAAACACCAAATAATCAAAGTTTTCCTGGTAGGTAGAACACTTTCTTACCTGTTGTTCCTATCCTGATGTCCTGTAGTCACACAAGCCTTTATGACTTCAGATTTTCCACGCCAATAAAACAAACCAACCAAAAATGAAGATGAGCAATGCATTGGTGTAAACCTGCACCTTTAGAAAGAAATAATAGACGTCATGCTGGTAACACAGGGCATTAGTGGTTTGAAAGAACACAGAAACCTCCTCCTGCTTTGAAAGTTAATGCATTCTCAGAGCACAGCTATGGCTTCTGATGCAGCGATAAGTGAGGAAATGCTTTATTTGGTGGAGAGGAAGATGCTGACGGACTGAAGAAAGATCTTCAGAGGACACAAAGACACCTTTAATGCTACAGACCAAAGCACCTGTAGAGTTCACACACCAGCTCCATGTAGGTTTTCAAGATTAAAAGTTCAGTATTAATCAAGTCACATTCTAGCTGCTCTGCTCTTACCACTTCTCCTTATGCAGGTGTATGACCTCTTCCAAACCCAAACCCTGTTCCTTTGCTTTGAAACACACTGTCCCCTAGCCAGTGCTCCTGCTGGTTGCTTGGGGCTGAGATAGATAGCCTATTTTTTGAAAAACACATGGTTTATTTTTTATTTATCTATCTCTCTTCTTAAACTTGACAAACATCCTGTGTAACATTACTGAGATCAGGACAGCAGTTTCTTTTCACAGCAAATAACCCAGTTACTGGGTCTGAGTGCTCACTGGACTGTTCATGCTAGGCTGCCTTTTTTCTCCTAAGGAATCTCTAATTTAACTCCCGAGAGCCAGATGGGATATCATGCTTATACATGCTTGATACATGTCAAAAGTAGAGATCCGTCCCTCAATTTCTTAATAACATCTCAAACAACAAAGCAAAGTGGACCTGAATTTTCTGGATAAAGACAGAAATAATTCCCTGATCTATAGATCAGGCACTCCCCACCATTATTTTTCCTCGGGTTGCTTCTCAACAGCTGTTAAGAACCAACCAATTTTTTCTTTACTCATAGTAATATTTAACCTCAGTCTGCAGTACATGGGCAGATTTTTGCCACTTCACTGTCTTCCTGTAATCTAGATATTTAAGGACTCCCCAAGACCCAGGAACAAGGCTCCATTGCCGTCAAACCACTCTTCCAGAGGTATCTCAGACACCACATTCCCAGAGCACGAGGGCCATCTCTACAGCATCTCCGTACTCTATGCGCCAGGAAACATGATGTATGGCTGCATATGCCATGTGCGTGCGTGTGTGCATGCATACATACTGCACCCAGTGGGCTGAGGTCAGCATTAAGTGTTTGGGCAAGGAAGCCAAGTATTTATCCATTGCACAG